TAAGAAATAATAGTTGCTGAAGTAATGTATTAACTATTGCTTGATTTTTAATGAAAAGTTCTGTGCCTATATTTTTATTATATTAATATAAAGTAAAAAGAGTAAACTTTTGAATTAAGCAAATATTTAATAAGAATTTTATAGTATAGTTATATTTTAAGTTTAATAATAGTTAATCTGATAGTTTTTTATTCATTTAAAATAGAGAAAATAATTATTAGATTACTTGAAAACAGTTGATATAAATTGAAAAGATTGTGTTTAGGCATAAGAAAATCAAAATATAATTCAAATAATTTATTTGGAATATAAAATTATTTGCAAAGTTAGTTAACCAGATTCTTTAGAATTTTGAGCTTGGATTTTTCTTTTATTGAGAATTTTTATTTTAGGCTTGTGATAAAGTTATTTGAATTATCAAATAGTTTAGGAAGTTTTTTGAAAAAATTAATTGAAAAATGTTTGAAATAGTAGAAGCCTTTAAGAACTCTTGTCTATTTTTTTATAAAATTAGATAATGGAATGAGGATTACATATAAAAGTTTAATTTGATAAAATTCTCTATATATGTTATTAGTTTTTTAAAATCAAATTTTTTCTATAAAAATCTATAAAATAGTTGAAGTTATATTTAAGAATCCTAACTATTTGTCAATATCAAAGAAGAAACAAATCATTGAAGCAAAAAAATATTATAAAATAGATTTATTAATAATATTTCTAATTTTTTTCTTAATAGTCCTATTAATATATTCTATATTGTGTTTGTTCAAATAATTAAAATGAAATTTCTTTTTAAAACTTCATACTCTTTTAATGTTTTTCTTTAATTTCTTTAGTTTTGGCAAATGAACAAAAGAAGAATCTGTTACAGAAAATTAATTTAATAAAAATAAACTAGCAAAAAAGTTAGTGTTAAAATAGTTAAAAAATCTTTTATTTGTAAAAACATTTCAATTAAAACTTTTTAATTCCTCATATATTATTAATTATATTAATTTTTTCAGTTATCTCCAATTAATAATTGAGAGGTTCATTGATTTTGATATTATTTTCTCTCATGAAAGATTCAATTTCATTAGCTTAGAATTAAGGATTAATAATTTTATTGATAAAATTAATTTCTATTTTAATAGAAGTATCAAAAACTGATTAAAATAATTCAATTTGATTGAAAATTTATATGAAGCTATTTATATCAAGATTATTAATTTTTAAGTTGTTATCAAGATAATCTTTCCTAGAAAAGATTGAGATATTATGTAATATATTATTGATTTTATGATTAACTATATTTGTAATTGATTTAAAATTTTTCTATAGAATAGATATATTTAAAAAAAATATAGTAGGAGTTTTTTTTTTTTTTTGAGAAAAAAAGTATTAGAATTAATATAAGTGAAAATAAAAATTTGATTTCAAGAATAGTGAAGTTTATAATTATAATATTTTTGATAACTTAGTAAACTACAAGTATTCTATATACTTTTATAAGTAAAATAATGACTAATATTTCTTGAATTTGTTAAAAATTATAAAATTACTATAAAAAAATATTTTAGTTAATGCATTGAGAAAAGATAAAAAGATTTATAAAGTTTGTTTTTTAATTTCAAATTTGACACAAATGATTTTTAGATCAAGATTTAAATTAAAATTAGAAAGATTGATAATTAAAATTAGTCAAGATATGAGATAGTATTAGAAAATTTGTACTTGGAGTTGAGATACAAGTTTAGTTATATAAATAAGTGAAGTTTTGTTTTGTTTATAGATAGCAGTGATTTTTGATTTTTGATTATTTGTTAAACAATATTTAAAATAGAATATTTAGTTTCATTTTATAGAACCTTGAAAAAACTATTTCTAGATTCTTTTAGTTTAACTTTGAAAATATTTTATTAGATTTTCTTTCTAAAAATTTGTATTTTTATAATTAATAAAGAGTTTTTTAATTAAAAAAATTTTTTTATAATATTATATATACTTAGGGATCGCAACGGATTGGATCAAATCAGATTTTAGATTAATCTGATCCAAATCTGATCGGATCAGTTTTTATTTGATCTGATTCATATCCGAATGGATTTATTTTTATATTATCTGTATTCATTCGGTTAATCTGATATTTTTTTAATTATGTTTTTTTTTTTTTTTTAATTCGTTTTTCTCTACTTAATGTTTACTTGCCATCTTTAAGTTTTATATATAAACATTTAGCTAATAATTTACATTTTTAAAATTTAAAATTTATTGCCATTCACGATTATTTTCTTTTAAATTAAAATATATACCTGTATAATTTAAATTTTCTGTAGTACTGCTACTGCCTTGGTTTTTTTTTATTGATTCTTCCAGTGCTAGCAAAGCAGGGGGATCTTGTTGCAATTGCTCTTGTCAATACTTCATATGTTTTTCTTTTTTGGTACCTTCTTTTCATTTTTTAATTGCTGTTACTGTTTTTTTTGCCAGGTTTTGGGATAAACCACTAGTTACACCTTCCTTCGACAAAACAGTTGTGCCATGTAGCTCTTTTTTGACCAGCAAAAAAGTGTGTTGCCTTGTATAAAAATTTAAATAAAAACTTAGTATTTTACATTTCAAACTTTTTTATTGTTTTTATAAAATACCTATTATCTCTACTTTTATTCCCCATTTAACCATGTAGAAGTTGTCTCCATCAAAATCCTCTTTTTGGCAAGTAAATTCTGGATCACTTTTGAAGCAAATTCCTCACAGGCAGCTGGCTGCAATTGCATGATCCAGGAAATTTGTATCGATATGGGCAAATTTGCTATACCTTCAGGATGCATATACTTCACAGAGACTCAAGAGATGGTTAAGTTTGATTTTCTTATTGTCGTAAAAAATTGAGATACTTTTTTTGACTGCTCTATACTTGTTTTCATCTAATCTTGGAAGCCCATGCTCAGTAATTTTTTGCTGTATACTCGAAGTCATATCGGCAGGAAAAATATCCATTGCATAGTTAAACAGGAGGCTATTCATTGTGACAACTTTTTTTTCAAGCAGATACTGCTGGCTTGTTCCTCATAACTCTTTCGGTATATTGAAAACATGTGTAAAAATTCCACATTTCCTTGTCGACAGGTATCTAAAACTTGTTGTCAGTATTGCTCAAGTATGAAATTAAACATATATAAAATTTATGTACCTAGTAGCTGCCAGTGTTCCTTGGTTAAGTTTCGATATACCATCGGATCGGGCAACCCTTCTTCATAGTTGGAACATTTCCAGCACTATACCTTGCATAATATTTAAAACCTTGGGTCCAATCTGATTACAATATATAGCAAGCACCACCTTGCCTGAATCTTTGTCACGAATTATAATTTCCTCATTTTTTTTATTACATTCGGCAGGCAGGAGGCAGCATCGATCGATGGCTTGTACATGTGAAGGCAATGGATTTACTTTTTCATGCACCCACTTTTCTTTGATTTTTTTTTTGTTATATCCAGGCAAGGGTTCGAGAAATATCATTTTTACATTGTGACATCGGCAAAGTGTTTTTGTGTCATCAGGTTTTCCCTGACCTGAAATATAAAAGGTTTAACTTTGTTTTTTGTTTTTAAAACTTTTTGAACTTACAAAATTTTTATATGTTTTTATTTTATTTTGTTTCATTTTGTCAATATCTGCTTTCAAAGTAGTTGCAGTTTTTACATCATCGGTATGGCAAAATCTTAGAAACCTTACAAATTCTCTCCATCAATTTTCCTAATTTTTTATTAGCATTTATAAAATATATATAGCGAGTTTTTTTTTTTTTTTTTACCTGGCGAAGTCTTGCCATTGAGTTTTTATTTATTCATTAATACAGTCTTATGTATGCAAATTTAATTGCGAGTCTATACATTTATGAAAGGAAAAAAACACTATGACTTAGTATTCTAGCGAACTAGAAACCCTGTGACTTGCTACAGTCCACATGTATGGATGCTAACGTGTCAAGACTCCACTAGCACTAATATTAATAGAAAAGAAGAAATAGGGAAAGTAACTGTTTTTTAAAGTATTCTCTGTTATGATATTTGTTAGTTCTATGTATATATTTGTGAAGTTATTCTTCACATACTGTTCATAGTTAATTTGGATTCCTGCTTCTTCCTGCTCTATGTCCTCTTCCCAGAATCTTGTCATTCGTGTTTCTGATGATTCTGGTGTTGATGTTGATGTTGACGGATTCTAGGTTGATTTTTCTTTCCTAGGTAGGTATTTTCTTTTGATTTTTTTTGTGATACCTCGATCCTTTTCCCACTGGACTGTGATGTCGCACCGGAGTTTCTAGATGTCTTGTTTTGCTTCTCAAAATTGTTGTGTTGCAGTTTTAATAGCTTCTATCACTAGGGTTTTGTCTTTGATGATGGATTCTGCAAGTTGTATCATGCTATGGGTTATTACCCCTCTGATCAGATCTTGAAATTCGGTCTTGTGCTAGTGTTGGAGGTTGTCCTTGTATTCTTTTAAGAAATGTGCTCGTTTTCATTTGTTTTGTATCTTTTCTCTTTGTTTGCCTTTTGCATGTGCTGCACACTCTTCTGTAAGTGATTGGATAAATCCTTGTTTTAATTTTTCTATTGCTGTCCCACATTGAAACACATGGTTGTTGGATTCTATGTGTTGGTTGCATGTTTTCCACAGTTCATTAGTGTAAATGTCTGGGCATTTGAGGCTCAATTTGTCCATAGTGGGGAGCTCCCCTAAAAATGTTTTCACTCTGAATGACTGGGCGGAATGGTCTTGGAAGTTGATAGTTGTTGATGTAATCGGTGATGGCATTAGTGATTCGAAAGTTAGTGGCCAATGGATTTCCTTTGCCTTTTC